CTTTGAAATTATGTTTGGAAGGGCATGGCCTATGAATGGCACCCCGGTTCTGTCAGGGGAATGGGAGCTGGGTAATGGTTTTTTGTCACAGTGTATGTGTTCCCTGTCTGCTGTTCTCTTGTCTCTTCACAGGTATACCAAGGATTCCCAGCCTCTCCCCTTGGACTCTCCCGTCCACTCCTTACAGCCGGTGACTCTGTGCTTGTTCGTACCTGGAAAGACGAGCCTCTCCAGGAAAAGTGGAAAGGACCCTATACCGTCCTGCTGGTCTCCCATACAGCGGCAAAGATCGAGGGACACAAGAACTGGATCCATCACTCTCGTCTGAAGGCAGTAACCGCCCCCTCGTCAGCAGGACAGTGGACCGTCCAACCTGCTGACTCCTCATCTAGTGACGATCTCGGGCTAAAGCTACTGTTTAAAAGACACAAATAGCGGGCACCTTAATGCTAAAATGGGCCCACCCAGGTACTGGAGACCCTGGGTTGGGAAGACTCTGGTGATAATTAATTGGGTAACATTGTTATTCTCTCTATTGGTATTTCCAAACTGTGCATATCGGGAGCATAACTCCTTTGTTTCGCTTGCGCACCATGTTGCTACTTTAACAAACCAGACTGATTGCTGGGTATGTGCTCCGACTCCACTGTCCCCCAAAACGGGAATGCCCCTTGACATGCTGCCCCTGACCCTAGCAGAATAAGCCGCCACCAAAGAGCAGGAAAGAACGGACTCGCCGTTCTGGAATAAGACCTCTTTACAGCAGGCCACCTATCAGGACCAGGAGTATTCAGTTGCAGTACTCACTGAGGGAGTGTTATGTTTTACCCGAAGCCAATCTGATCACTATGGGCGTCCTGCGGGAAAGAGCTCCTCTGTTATTACACAGTGGGCTGAGGGGTATTGGATAAAGACCAAAAGGGGAGGCCAGCAGTGTGGGTGTAAGGGTTCCTCCCCTTTTAGAGAAACTCTTACAAATAATTTTACCACAAGAAAGGGGTTTGGAAATGTAACTTGCCGTCCAGTTAATATCTCCAACGTAGCAAGCCAATGGTGGGTTTGTAGTGGTCCCTATGGCGAGTGTAATTTAAACGGCACAATTAGAAATGCCCCCACTTGTACCCAGTCAGGAGGATGGGATGCCCCCCTAGGGGCATATGAACTGTTTGGAAAAACAGCTTCAAATATCCCAGGAATCCCCTTAAGAAACAGTCCTTACTGGGCCCTACAGGGTCACTATTTTGTATGTGGCCGAAAGGCTTACAAGGTGCTGCCAGCCAACTGGACAGGTAGCTGTTATATAGCTCATGGAGTTCCTCATCTTTCCATAACTGCCACATTGCCCAAAGGAAAGATTAAAAATGCCCGAAACACCTCTGTTGAGTCACGAGAAAAGACCCTGCGGCGACTGACTACGGCATTGGAGGGCAATATGAAGAATTCCCTCACAACCGAGAAGCTTGTCGGGTGCTCTGTACTGGGAATAGCGCCACTGTTTACCGGGCCAGCCATGGCAGGCATAGGCCGCTATACTGTAAGGCTGCAGATGGTACTTGAGAAAGTGGCCCTAGAGTTAGAGGACTCGGTTAGTGATTTAGGGTCAGCAGTAAAAACATTAAATAAAGAGGTACAGCAGCTCAGGATGTTTTCCCTCCAAAACAGGCTGGCTTTGGACTATCTCTTGGCATCCCAAGGAGGGGTTTGTGCCCTCGTCGGGCCCCGATATTGTGTGTATGTAAATGATAGCAGTTGTGAGATCTATGAAAAGGTGGTACAGGCTGAGGCCCATGCCCGAGCCGGAGCACAGGTTGCCTATACTGCCCCAGAGAGCGATTGGTTGCAAACCTTGTTTTCAGGCTGGGGTTTGTCATCTTGGCTTGGTGGTTTATTTAGCCTGTTATTGAAACTTCTCTTTCCTGTATTGCTTGTTGTCACGGAGTCCCTGGGCGATGCTCTGGAACTGCTCCCTGCGAAGCCAGTCAGGACTCTGGGGAAGTCTCCTCTCTGGGAGCAGCCTGTCTGCAGGACACACAGCTCACCCGGCTTCCACCTTCCTGGGTCTGACCTCGGAGCATTCAGCCTCCTCTGCCCCTCTGTGCGCTTCCCACAGCGAGTCCACTCAGGCGGGGTCCTGGGGAAGCCAGAGGGTCCTGCCCCCCAACTCCGCAGTCAGACGTGACTCTCAGCCAGCCAGTACAACAGAGGTTTATTAGAGGACAGGAACATGGTCTAACACAGAGCTTGTAGGTGCGGAGAACAGGACCCCTCAGCTGGGTCCATTTTGGGGGGCAGTGAGCCAGACAACCCCGTCTGCACTTCACTCCATGTCCCAGCCAGCCCCCAACTGAAACTCCCTCCAGCCCCTCCTCCCCTGGGCTTTGTTCCTTTCCCGGGCCAGGAGGGCACCTGGTTCCTTTGTTCTCCAACCCTTTAGCTCTCACCTTGCAGGGGGGGGAAGGGCCCAGGCCATCAGGGGCCAGGAAAAAGGGTGTCAGCCATTCTCTGTGTCCAGACCCCTGCACACACCTGCCCTCTAGGGCTCTGCAACGATCACACACCCTTATCCCACCTCCTGGATACTTAAGAACTGCCTAGGGGAAACTGAGGCATCCCCACACTATTCAGAGGAAACATTAAGAACAGTCCCGCTTCGTCACACGTAGTCACCCCCTCCTAGCACCCTGAGATACCCCCTGCCCACACACAGCCCCTAGTCACCCCCTACCTGCACCCTGAGCTACCCCCCCTGCCCGCACACAGCCCCTACCTACCCCCTCCTTGCACCTTGAGCTGTTTTCAAACTTTTTGAGCTTAGCCCCCCACTTTTGAGTTATAATTTTTGGTTGCACCCCCCGGCCAACCCAGACAGGTGGGTGGCCTGCTGTGGTGAGTCGGGCGGGGGGGGGGAAGGGGGCGCTGCCTCCCCGGACCCGCTGTGCGGAACTGGCTCAAGTCCTGCTGGCCCCTGCCCCCAAAATAGACATCAAAGTACACCTATGCCTGAGCCCTCCCCCTGCCCAGATGGGAGCTGGGGGCTCAGAGAGGGATCCCCTGGGAGTGGGGGGGGGGCTGGGGAGGGAGGGGTCCCTTAGAGGCAGGGGGTGGTGGCTAGGGGCCCAGGGAGGGGTCCCCTAGAGGCTGGGGGTGGGGCTGGAGGCACAGGGAGGGGGTCTTCTGGGAGTTGTAGGGGGCTGGGGGCACAGGAAGCGGTCCCTTGGGAGCAGGGAGGGTGGGGGCTCAGGGAGGGGTCCCCTAGAAGCGGGGGGGCTGGGGGCACAGGGAGGGGTCCCCTAGAAGCAGGGGGGCTGGGGGCACAGGGAGGGGTCCCTTAGAGGCAGGGGGCATGGCTGCAGGCACAGGGAGGGGTCCCCTGGAGCAAGGGGCGCTGGGGGACAGGGCGGGTTCCCCTAGAGGCAGGGAGTCTGGGGGCACAGGAAGGGATCCCTTGGAGATCAGGCCCCCGTAACACTTACTGGTCTCTTCTTTGCCCTGCAGTTTTAGTCCCCTCCCCTCCCAACCTGGTCCTGGAAGAGGCCGGCAACTTCCAGCTCCCATGGGCTGGCCGAGACGCCCCCTCACCGTCCTTGGTGCGGTGCGGCTTTCGTTCGGGCGCGGAGATGGGCGCTGGGCTGGGCGGGACCCCACGTGGGGTGGGGAGCAGGACAGCGCTGGGCCGGCGGGAGCGGGGTCACCGTGCTGCTGGGAGCTTCTCCCGCCGGGGCTGGAGCGTCTTCACTAGCCCGCTGCAAGTGCACCGTGACCTGGGTGGGACATCAGGTCACCCTGCCCCAGCGCCACGTGTCACCAGCAGACCCGGCCTTGGGTGCTACATAAAGGCCAGATCCTCCCCTGGACCTTTGTGCAACCAACCCAGTGAGAGTGGGGGGCCAAGGGGAGCACCTGGTGTGACGAAGCGGGACTGTTCTTAATGTTTCCTCTGAATAGTGTGGGGGGGTGCCTCAGTTTCCCCTAGGCAGTTCTTAAGTATCTAGGTGGTGGGATAAGGGTGTGTGATCATTGCAGAGCCCTAGAGGGCAGGTGTGTGCAGGAGTCTGGACACAGAGAATGGCCGACACCCTGTTTCCTGGCCACTGATGGCCTGGGCCCTTCCCCCCCTGCAAGGTGAGAGCTGAAGGGTTAGAGAACAAAGGAATCCGGTGCCCTCCTGGCCCGGGAAAGGGACAAAGCCCAGAGGGGAGGCTGGAGGGAGGTTCAGTTGGGGGCTGGCTGGGGACATGGAGTGAAGGGCAGATGGGGTTGTCTGGCTCACTGCCCCCCAAAATGGACCCAGCTGAGGGGTCCTGTTCTCCGCACCTACAAGCTCTGTGTTAGACCATGTTCCTGTCGTCTAATAAACCTTCTGTTTTATTGTCTGGCTGAGAGTCACATTTGACTGCGGAGTTGGGGGGCAGGACCCTCTGGCTTCCCCAGGAGCCCCGCCTGGGCAGACTCGCTGTGGGAAGCGCACGGAGGGGCAGAGGATGCTGAATGCTCCGAGGTCAGACCCAGGAAGGGGGAAGCCGGGTGAGCTGTGTGTCCTGCAGACAGGCTGCTCACAGAAAGGAGACTTCCCCAGAGTCCTGATTGGCTTCATGGGGAGCAGTTCCAGAGCATCGCCCGGGGACTCCGTGACACCTGGTACCAGGCTCAGATGCTGCCCTAAGAGCATCTCTAAAATGGGACTCTGGCCCCGGTGGAACTGGACACCCTGCACAAAACAGCCTCCCCGTGCCGGGTTCCTCTGGAGCCTTACGCCTCCCGTGGAGGGTTTCAAGGGAGAACCACACAGAACTGAGCCCTGTTTTTCTGATGGAAAATGTTTGTTTGGCTCCTGGTGCCTAGATCTCTAGGTGGGTGGCGCTGGATGCTGGAGAGAAACGAAACCCAGGGCTGAGAGCGCTGGACAGGAACCTCCCGAGTGAGCGAAGGGCCGTTTAGCCGGGAAGGGTGTCTCCTAGGGGCTGTACACCGGCTGCTGCATTCTGTACCCCGGCCACGGGCAGGGAGCAAAGGAGCGACCCAGGGGGATGAACCTGCCAAGGGGTGTCCCAGGAAGGGCCCGGCTAACGGGAGAGAATCCGGCACCTCCCGGGGAATCCAGGGAGGGGCAGGTGGGAGTCACGGCTCAGCAACAGCTTCACCCCAAGGGCCAAGAGCGGTAAAAACACCAGAGACTCATTTGCCTCCCGTGCTAGAGCTTTACTGGGAAAGGAACTAAACTGCAGCATGGGGGGGTGGGACAGCGATTCTGGGGGGGTCACCGGAGAGCGAGGGGGAGGTGGAGACAGAGACGGGTGATTCTGCAGCCCAGCAAACAGCCCTGAGGCAGAGCGAGACGCTCTCGAGAGAGCCCAGGACAATCCCGGACGGGGGGCCAGGAGCCCTGGGGCTGCAGAGTGTGGTCACGGTGCTGCTGGGTCACCGGGCACCGTCGCTCCTCACGGATTCACCCACGTTCCGTCACTTGATCCGAGTGAAAATGTTTGTGCCGACCCTGCGGGGAAGCACAGAGCTGGAGTTACTGGCCCAGCACAGGCCTGCGCTTGGGGCTGCCCCATACATGGGGGTGGGGGGCAGGGACACAAGGTGCATTAATCTGAGATGGATAGAAGCCCAAAGAGGCACCTCCTCCAGGCTCCACTTCATGGGGGCACCCAGCCACCCAGCCCAGGGAGGCAGCGTGCCTGTGGGCACCCCGCACCGGCAGGGCCTCAGAGCCACCCAGCTGCACCCCGGGGGTGGGCAGGGGCTCTGGGGGCTGCTCATCCAGCCATCCCCTCCTGGGTGGGTCAGCAAGGCCATTCTTTGTGCTTTTCCCTGGCGACTGACTCGTCTACCCTGGGGATGCTGCCCCTCACAGGATGCCCACACCCCTGGTGGATTGCTCACCCATTAGCAAGTTCTTGGAGAAGAGTTGTGGGGATCACACACAGCCCTGGGGTGTGACAGGGCCCAGGGAACTCAGCAAACCTTCTGTGACATTATTGACATGAACTGTGACCGTATAGATCATTGTTGCTACCAAAGTCCTATAGTTGCACCAAATCTTGTACAAAGGAAGTCAAGTAAGGTGTCTATGAAAAGGTTGTAATTTGCTGGTTATAATTAGGGCTGTCTGTATGTGTGTATCATTTTTGTATTTGAAGTTATGAATATTGGCTCTGTACTTGTATCGCAATGTGTTTGATTCTTACTAGCATTAGTGAGGCATGTGGTCAGCTTCTTGAGAAAGGAATTTTCAGATTAAGTGGCCAGTCAAGAAACACTTCACTGACAATGGACCTTGGGAGACTCCAATCTACATATGGGAAGCCTTCCTGGGAGCATTCAAGGCAGCATGTGAGCAATGGCTGCTCTACCTGTAAAGAACTGAGTCATGCATGGACATGTGACTTGCCCATGTGACTCCAAACTCCACCTTGCTGCTGTGATTTTCCCTAGTAAGAACAAAGGGGTGTCCTTCTACAAGACAGAGGATATAAAAGGCCCTGGAAACCCCCCCATTGTGTCTTCAATCCTGCTTCTGACCTCTGGAAGAACTTTGCTACACTGAAGCTCTGAACAAAGGACTGAATGACCCAACCCAGCTGGAGATGTTCTCCAGAGACTTGATTTGAACCTGCCGTTTATTCCATCACTGCTACAAGCCTGAATCAAGAACTTTGCCATTACTGTATGTCACTGATTCCATTGAACCAATTCTAGCTCTCATCTATATTTCTTTCTTTTTATGAATAAACCTTTAGATTTTAGATTCGAAAGAATCATAGAATATCAGGGTTGGAAGGGACCTCAGGAGGTCATTTAGTCCAACTCCCTGCTCAAAGCAGGACCAATCCCCAATTAAATCATCCCAGCCAGGGCTTTGTCAAGCTTGACCTTAAAAACTTCTAAAGAAGGAGATTCCACCACCTCCCTAGGTAACGCATTCCAGTGTTTCACCACCCTCCTAGTGAAAAAGTTATTCCTAATATCCAACCTAAATCTCCCCACTGCAACTTGAGACCATTACTCCTCGTTCTGTCATCTGCTACCACTGAGAACAGTCTAGATCCATCCTCTTTGGAACCCCCTTTCAGGTAGTTGAAAGCAGCTATCAAACCCCCCCTCATTCTTCTCTTCTGCAGACTAAACAATCCCAGTTCCCTCAGCCTCTCCTCATAAGTCATGTGTTCCAGTCCCCTAATCATTTCTGTTGCCCTCCGCTGGACGTTTTCCAATTTTTCCACATCCTTCTTGTAGTGTGGGGCCCAAAACTGGACACAGTACTCCAGATGAATCATAGAATCATAGAATCATAGAATATCAGGGTTGGAAGGGACCCCAGAAGGTCATCTAGTCCAACCCCCTGCTCAAAGCAGGACCAATTCCCAGTTAAATCATCCCAGCCAGGGCTCTGTCAAGCCTGACCTTAAAAACCTCTAAGGAAGGAGATTCTACCACCTCCCTAGGTAACGCATTCCAGTGTTTCACCACCCTCTTAGTGAAAAAGTTTTTCCTAATATCCAATCTAAACCTCCCCGACTGCAACTTGAGACCATTACTCCTCGTTCTGTCATCTGCTACAATTGAGAACAGTCTAGAGCCATCCTCTTTGGAACCCCCTTTCAGGTAGTTGAAAGCAGCTATCAAATCCCCCCTCATTCTTCTCTTCTGCAGGCTAAACAATCCCAGCTCCCTCAGCCTCTCCTCATAACTCATGTGTTCCAGTCCCCTAATCATTTTTGTTGCCCTTCGCTGGACTCTCTCCAATTTATCCACATCCTTCTTGAAATGTGGGGCCCAAAACTGGACACAGTACTCCAGATGAGGCCTCACCAATGTCGAATAGAGGGGAACGATCACGTCCCTCGATCTGCTCGCTATGCCCCTACTTATACATCCCAAAATGCCATTGGCCTTCTTGGCAACAAGGGCACACTGCTGACTCATATCCAGCTTCTTGTCCACTGTCACCCCTAGGTCCTTTTCCGCAGAACTGCTGCCTAGCCATTCGGTCCCTAGTCTGTAGCGGTGCATTGGGTTCTTCCGTCCTAAGTGCAGGACCCTGCACTTATCCTTATTGAACCTCATCAGATTTCTTTTGGCCCAATCCTCCAATTTGTCTAGGTCCCTCTGTATCCTATCCCTCCCCTCCAGCGTATCTCCCTCTCCTCCCAGTTTAGTGTCATCTGCAAACTTGCTGAGGGGGCAATCCACACCATCCTCCAGATCATTTATGAAGATATTGAACAAAACCGGCCCCAGGACCGACCCTTGGGGCACTCCGCTTGATACCGGCTGCCAACTAGACATGGAGCCATTGATCACTACCCGTTGAGCCCGACAATCTAGCCAACTTTCTACCCACCTTATAGTCCATTCATCCAGCCTATACTTCTTTAACTTGCTGGCAAGAATAAAGGATTGGCAACAGTGTGATTTGTGGGTAAGATCTGATTTGTATATTGACCTGGGTCTGGGGCTTGGTCCTTTGGGATCGAGGGAACCTTTTTTCTTTTACTGGGGTGTTGGTTTTCATAATCATTCGTCCCCACAACGAGTGGCACTGGTGGGGATACTGGGGCACTGGAGTGTCTGAGGGAATTGCTTGTGTGATTTGTGGTTAGCCAGTGGGGTAAAACCAAAGTCCTCTCTGTTTGGCTGGTTCGGTTTGCCTTGGTGTGCAAAGGAACCCCAGCCTGGGGCTGTAACTGCCCTGCTCTAAGTGATTTGTCGTGAATTGATACTCTCAGAAGTGTCCTGCCAAAGGCCACATCGTTACACCTTCATCCTTCCCCAGCAAGATACACAGCTTCCTAGATTCCCAGGCCAGAAGGGACCATTGTGATTTGTGCCTGGCCCCTGTACAGCACGGGCCCTAGGACTAGTCTGACCCCCTGCATAGCACAGGCCTTAGGGCTTCCCCCCTAAAATTCCTAGAGCACATGGTGGGTCCCCCAAGAGTTTGTGATTCTGGGCTGAGAACCCTGCCCTGCCCCACCTCATCCCACACGGGGTTCCCTGTATCCCCAGCACCACAGCCCCAGAGCCGGGCTCGGGATCCCAGCCCTTGGCACAGCGCCGAGCAGAGACGGGGCCAGGCCCTGCAGTCCCAGCTCTGCAGGCTGCACCTTTGCTCCTGGGCAGTCTGTGCCCCGTCACCCACCTGGTTGCTTCCCAGTCGGCACCGGGGGATCCGACCTCCTTGCGCAGCAGCCACGTGGTCTGCAGGGTCTCTTCTCCCTGGTCATCCGTGAAGCACTGGCCCACGAAGACGCTCACGGACTCTGGTGGAGACTCTGACAGGTGATAGAGTGACCAGGTCAGCGCTGCTCGCTCTGAGATCCCGGCACAGGGTCCCCAGACAGAGCCCGGAGCCCGAGGGAGTCTGCTGCGTGTCGCTGGGGCAGTGCCACGCACCTGTAATAGTCACACCCACTGGGTCCTCGGCAGCATCTCCCCAAGGCTGGCTCCAGCCCCAGGGAGGGTCAGAGCAGTGACCCATTCTTGGGGCGGCGGGCGGGGGGGGACCAAGGAAGTTGGGGAGGGGACAGAGCACTGGGTGTGGAATGGGGAGAGGGAGAAGCAGCTGCCCAAAGGTGGAACCGGAGGTTTCTGCAGCAGCAAGCAATGTCAGCCTTCCCCTTTGGCATCACTGCCCCTCTAGCCCCGTGCCAGGTCAGCCCACGACAGGCCTTAATCACCCATCACAGCCCGGACCCCGAGCGGTGCGTCTGCAGAGACAGGCTCTGATTCTCATGTAACGGGACCCTGCACAAGCCTCCTTCTCTCTGTCTGCCCCCATACTGGGTGCCCCGCAAGCCAACACGCCGGAGCAAAATACAAGGTGGGTCGCTCGCCCACCCTCAGTAACGGGCCTCCCTGCTGTTACCCCTCTGTGCCCGCGTGGTTGGCCCAAGGCAGGGCCCTGCAGGTCATTCAGCTCCGCAGGAGAAATGGGTCTTGGAGCCAGGTATCTCGGAGGCAAACACGGCAGGCAAGAGCGGCTTTGGATGAATGCACTATAAGGTGGGTAGAAAGTTGGCTAGATTGTCGGGCTCAACGGGTAGTGATCAATGGCTCCATGTCTAGTTGGCAGCCGGTGTCAAGTGGAGTGCCCCAAGGGTCAGTCCTGGGGCCGGTTTTGTTCAATATCTTCATAAATGATCTGGAGGATGGTGTGGATTGCACCCTAAGCAAATTTGTGGATGATACTAAACTAGGAGGAGTGGTAGATACGCTGGAGGGTAGGGATAGGATACAGAGGGACCTAGACAAATTGGAGGATTGGGCCAAAAGAAATCTGATGAGGTTCAATAAGGATAAGTGCAGGGTCCTGCACTTAGGATGGAAGAATCCAATGCACCGCTACAGACTAGGGACCGAATGGCTAGGCAGCAGTTCTGCGGAAAAGGACCTAGGGGTGACAGTGGACAAGAAGCTGGATATGAGTCAGCAGTGTGCCCTTGTTGCCAAGAAGGCCAATGGCATTTTGGGATGTATAAGTAGGGGCATAGCGAGCAGATCGAGGGACGTGATCGTTCCCCTCTATTCGACATTGGTGAGGCCTCATCTGGAGTACTGTGTCCAGTTTTGGGCCCCACACTACAAGAAGGGTGTGGATAAATCGGAGAGAGTCCAGTGAAGGGCAACAAAAATGATTAGGGGTCTGGAACACATGACTTATGAGGAGAGGCTGAGGGAACTGGGATTGTTTAGTCTGCAGAAGAGAAGAATGAGGGGGGATTTGATAGCTGCTTTCAACTACCTGAAAGGGGGTTCCAGAGAGGATGGTTCTAGACTATTCTCAGTGGTAGAAGAGGACAGAACAAGGAGTAATGGTCTCAAGTTGCAGTGGGGGAGGTTTAGGTTGGATATTAGGAAAAACTTTTTCACTAGGAGGGTGGTGAAACACTGGAATGCGTTACCTAGGGAGGTGGTGGAATCTCCTTCCTTAGAAGTTTTTAAGGTCAGGCTTGACAGAGCCCTGGCTGGGATGATTTAATTGGGGATTGGTCCTGTTTTGAGCAGGGGGTTGGACTAGATGACCTTCAGGGGTCCCTTCCAACCCTGATATTCTAGGATTCTATGATTTTGGCGCAGCTCCGAGCCCTGCCCAGCCAGCCCTGGGCCCCACAGCTCTCCCCATTGGCGCTGACTCTGGGCTGGGCTGTCCGGCTCGTCTCAGGGCCAGGCTCCCAGGGACTCGGGCTGCGCCGGCCACTGCCTTCTCGCTGCGTCTCTGCTCCTCCTGCCTGCTGTCCCAGGCACAGAAACCTTCCCAAAGGACCCCCAGGGACCCCTCTGGCCCCGGGCCCGGGCGCGCCTGGCCATGGGGTGCCGGGGACTCTCAGCCCCTCCCTCCAGAGGTACGGGAACTCGGGGTGCGGGGGCTGCCGCACCCCCTGACTGGACGTGGTTTCCATTCTACGCGGGGTTTACAGCTTGGTTCAATGGCTCCCAGCCCCCCACTACACACATGGTTCCCGCCCCCCGGCCTGCCTCTCCCCATCGCCCCACGGGGAGCGCGGCGGCCACACCATCGGCTTCACACCCGTTTAACCCACTCCAGACCAGTCGGGAGGTGCCGAGCTTCCCATCCCCGGACCCCCTCCCATCCCCCATCCAGTCAGCAGTCGGGGGGTGACTGGGATGCCTCCCTCCCCTCCCGCGGCCTGCAGGCCATTTCCAAACCCCACGGCTGCGCCCCCCACAACAACTCCAGGGTCCTGGGCGCCAACATCTAGTTTTCCCCAGGGGGGGCTTTACCCCCACTCCGCCCCTCCCCCACAGCCCGAGCCTTGCCCCGCCTCTTCCCACCCCCACTCTGCCCCTCCCCCACAGCCCGAGCCTTGCCCCGCCTCTTCCCACCCCCACTCTGCCCCTCCCCCACAGCCCGAGCCTTGCCCCGCCTCTTCCCACCCCCACTCTGCCCCTCCCCCATGACCCCACCCTCCCTCCGCCTCTTCCCACCCCCACTCCGCCCCTCCCCCACAGCCCGAGCCTTGCCCCACCTCTTCCCGCCCCCACTCTGCCCCTCCCCCATGACCCCACCCTTCCTCCGCCTCTTCCCACCCCCACTTCACCTCTCCTGCAAGGCCCCACCCTCGCTCACCCACACGGCACCGTGGGCTTGGTGCCCCTGTCCAAAGCGCATCATAGAATATCAGGGTTGGAAGGGACCTCAGGAGGTCATCTAGTGCAACCCCCTGCTCAAAGCAGGACCAATCCTCAATTAAATCATCCCAGCCTGGGTTTTGTCAAGCTGGGCCTTAAAAACCTCTAAGGAAGGAGATTCCACCCCCTCCCTAGGTAACGCATTCCAGTGTTTCACCACCCTCCTAGTGAAGAAGTTTTTCCTAATATCCAACCTAGACCTCCCCCACTGCAACTTGAGACCATTACTCCTCGTTCTGTCATCTGGTACCACTGAGAACAGCCAAGCTCCATCCTCTCTGGAACCCCCTTCAGGTAGTTGAAAGCAGCTTTCAAATCCCCCCTCATTTTTCTCTTCCACAGACTAAACAATCCCAGTTCCCTCAGCCTCTCCTCATAAGTCATGTGTTCCAGTCCCCTAATCATTTTTGTTGCCCTCCGCTGGACTCTCTCCTATTTTTCCACATCCTTCCTGTAGTGTGGGGCCCAAAACTGGACACAGTACTCCAGATGAGGCCTCACCAGTGTCGAATAGAGGGGAACGATTACGTCCCTCGATCTGCTGGCAATGCCCCTACGTATACATCCCAAAATGCAATTGGCCTTCTTGGCAACAAGGGCTCACTATCCAGCTTCTTGTCCACTGTAACCCCTAGGTCCTTTTCTGCAGAACTGCTGCCGAGCCATTCGGTCCCTAGTCTGTAGCGGTGCATGGGATTCTTCTGTCCTAAGTGCAGGACTCTGCACTTGTCCTTGTTGAACCCCATCAGATTTCTTTTGGCCCAATCCTCTAATTTGTCTAGGGCCCTCTGTATCCCATCCCTACCCTCCAGCATATCTACCTCTCCCCCGCAAGCTTAGTGTCATCTGCAAACTTGCTGAGGGTGCAATCCACACCATCCTCCAGATCATTAATAAAGATGTTGAACAAAACCGGCCCCAGGATTGACCCCTGGGGCACTCCGCTTGATACCAGCTGCCAACTAGACATCCACACGGCCCCTTGGGCCTGGGGCCCCCTACCCTATGCTCACGCACATGGCCCCCTGGACCTGAGGCTTCCTGCCCCACACTCACCCAGATGGTCCCCTGGGCCTGGTGTGCCCCCTGCTCCACAAGCAGCCACATGGCCCCTGGGGCTGGTGCCCCCTACCCCATGATCACCACATTTCTGTCCCCATTAAAATCCAGTTTTGCCTGCAGGGCATCCAGATGTCCGGCTACTCCCCTTCTCTCAAACCGCTGCCTCCGAGTCTGTCTTTCCTTAGTCTGGAAGCTCTTTAGGGCAGGACCACCCTGCCTTGCTCGCCTGAAGAGTGCCCAGACGTGCACATGGGCTCTGGTGTAAACAAAAATACATTAAACAACCTCACTGAGCAGATGCAAAAACCTCATTGCCCCGTACTGCTTTGCTGAGAGTCCCTGAACCTGGGGATCGCCAGTGTAAAAGCATGAGGCTTTTGGTATAAGCCACTGCAGTAAGGATACGCCATATAAGAATATAATAGCATTAGAATGGCTAGACTGGGTCAGACCAAGGGTCCATCTAGCCCCGTGTCCCGTCTGCCGACAGTGGCCAGTGCCAGGTGCCCCAGAGGCAGTGAACAGAACAGGTGATCACCAGGTGATCCAACCCTGTCGTCGCCCATTCCCAGCTTCAGTGTGTATTACAGAAGAGAGATTTAAGGCACAATTTTGTTTATTAAAGGAAGTTTAAGGGTGACATTAGAAGCATGGTCTAAATCAGGACCACCTGTCTTCCACAATTCCACCACATGGAGTTCTCCCCTTGCTCCTGAATTATTACTATGTTTAATATTAAAATCGTGTCCCTAGCCCCTCTGGTAGCAGAGAGAACCTTGAAAACCTGGCCTGCGCATAGAGCAAATCTGCAGAACACCTGCAGCACCGGCTGAACAAAGGGGCCGTCCCAGTCCGGGCTCCACGGATTCCAGCTGCAGAAGCTGATACTTTTGCCATGGAAATTCACTATTGTGCTACACCAACCCGTTTCCTGTCTCCCTGCCCTGCCTGCAGTATCCTCCTGCTCCCCCAGTAGGAGTCAACTGGACTTCAAGGCTGGGGGAAGGAGGTTTTGAGCTGGGCCACCTGAAGACAACTTCCAAGTAGTTGTGGAAAGTAAGCGTGACAACCTCCCTCTGGGCACTGAACCCAGGATCTCCCCAGTTAACGCACAACACCTTACAGTGTGAGCTGCAAAGCTAGTGTCTGTAACGGACTCACATCCTCCGTGGCCTGAGCATCGACGAGGACATGTAACACACTGGTCAGTGGATTACATGAGCATCACAAAGTTTCCATCAATGAGTATTTTCCATTGCGAGCTGTAGCTGGATGTGTCTGGCATGGGAGGGAATTCCATGGAGACAGAGATCCCCACCCTGAGCCTTCCCTGCGGGTCCTTCTCCCCAGACCAGTCTGCTTCCACTCTCCACACCTTCGCTTAAAGTTTGGTTTGACCATCACTCACCTCCTCCCAGCCTAAGCCTGGACCGCCATGCACTGTGCCTTCCAGGCCTACTTTCAGAGACCACCACAAGTGGTTCCAGGCCTCTCACTGACTGAGGAGCAGGCTTTCCTTGTACACTGTCCTGACCCCCTCAGCCCCAGGGTACCCGAGTCACCAGCCCTCCCCAAGACTGGGGCATGAGACCTCCAGGTTTTTCAGCCCCCCGTCAGATCATGCTTACCCCAGCTCCACCTGGCCAGCACTGAGGCAGTGGAGGCTACACACCTGAGAACTGCCACTTCACCGTGAACCCGAAGGTTGGCTGCTCCTTCTGGTTGGCATTGTGCTGGACTCCATGCAGGGGCGATGACAGGATATCAGCCTTGGGGGCCATTGCCACAGAGTGGTATGAACCCGAGAACGCTCCAGCCTTGCTGAGTTCAGATATATCCATCCTGCAGCCCAGGCTGCTCTTCCATGATCCGGACAGGACACACTGAAAAGGGAGGGATGCAGTTAGCAGGAACAGGGGCCCCACACAGCGCTGCGGGTCCGATGCTCAGCCGAGGCTATGGCCCTGCCAGTCCGGAACGCAGGGCACAGACCGCTCAAACCGGAGATGAACAACGAAGTCTTGGTGTGTACTCTGCTTCCTGAGCTCTCCAGGGAAGCCCCTTCCCTCCCTCTGTGACCCCTCCCCACTTGTCTCTGGGTTTTTCAGGCTGGGGATTCCACCAGAAATGCAACTAACTGAATAAATCCTAAACCATATGTCACGAAGTGTAGGGGAGACAAGGACCTGCACCCCCAACTTTCTGCGATTCACCATGACTCTCAGCCAGCCAGTAAAACAGAAGGTTTATGAGACAACAGGAACACAGTCCAAAACAGAGCTTGTAGTTATAGAAAACAGGACCCCCTCAGTCAGGCCCATCTTGGGGGGCAGGGAGGCCAGACCACTGTTCTGGGCCTCCCTCTCTTTCCCCAGCCAGCTCCAAACTGAAACCCCCTCCAGCCATCTCACCCAGCCTCCCCCCGGCCCCTCCTCCAGCCTTTGTCCAGTTTCCCAGGCAGAAGGTGTCACCTGGCCCCAACCCCCCTCCTGGCTCAGGTTACATGCTCAGGTATCGTCCCTCCAGTGAAGTCACACCCTGATATCCCACCACCATCCAGCACCAATGCAGACAGCCCAGTAAAACTCCCACACAACATTCCCAGGTCAATACGCTCCACTCCCTGCTCCATCACATCATAAACACAGAACTGGGGACCTCCTCTGCTCCTGGGAGGTCCTTTGCTTTCTCCTTCCTAACCCATAGGGTGGGGGGAGCTGTCCTCCATTCCCTTGCCACCTGGGCCCTCTCCCCACAGGCTGAGGAGCTTACTGAAGCAGGAGAGAGGAGGCAGCTGCACCCCAGAGAGCAGTGGGGCCCAGGCTGGGTGTGGGTCCTGGAGAGCAGACAGGCCCCATGGCGCTCGTACTGTAATGGGATGCTAAGCTGTATCACGCTGTTTGGCCACGAGGTGGCGCTGTGTGGCACACACTTTATTTAAGCCACCGTGGGCCATCCCCAGCAGACCATTAAAGGATCCAGAGGAACAGCCGTGTTAGTCTGTATTCGCAAAAAGAAAAGGTCTCAGATCCTTTAATGGATCTGAGACCGAACACACCGGCTGTGTATCGCGCTCAGACGGAAGCTCTGTAGCCAGCCCGCATCCAGGACAGGCAGACGACAGTGCTGGCTCCTCTTCCCATTCCCAGCTGCTCTTCAGGGCCCAGTGAAGCCCCCTGGATGGAACGCACCCCTGTATTCACATCCTACACACCCCTGCAAAATCTTGGTACACAATGTGCTGTGTGAGCTATCGTCTGAAAACCAAGAATGCACCGGCCAATAGTATCAGGGCGAAATGTGTGTAGCAACATTACGTGTAAAGAGATAACATACGCAGAAATCGTGACTGAAGTGTGTTCACCAGAGAAGTCTGGGGCGGGGGTGAACCTGTTTCTCAAAGACAAAGGACAAGGTGACACATCTGGCTAGGTGCCATCAAAGCCGATGGGCCATCACCTGTCAAGTGTCCATTCCTTGGCAAGGGAGGGAGGCAGGAACAAACAGTTCTGCATCTTAGCAAACAACAGCAGGGAACCTCTTTCACCACCAGACTCCTTGACTCCAACCTCACATCAGGAATGAACTTTATCAAGGGGTATCCCTTGGGAAAATGCATTTCAAAGGGAAAAGGAAAACAGCCGTTGGACTTTGGGAGCAGATCCAGTCTGAGAATTTGGTCAGCAATGATATGGAAACATGTACTAAGGGAACCTCACCTTGAACCGAGTCAAGTTAGCTAAATTTACTACGAGGAAGTGTTTTACCATTATGTCTCTTGTAGCCATTTCTGACTTTAATGCCTTACACTTGTACTCCCTTAAAACCTGCCTCCTTGTAGTTAAATAAACTTGTTTTATTCTTTAATCAGAATGAATCCAGTGTGTGGATAGCTCCATTTAGGGTAGCAAACTATTGTCTATTCCAGGGGTCAGCAACCTATGGCCCGCGTGACCTACTGACCCCCAATCACAACACTTAAGCTAGACAAAAAGATGTGTCTTTAAAACAGGTTGGCTGACATGTTTTACCTGACAAGTCTTAGAACCCTAGTGTAGACAAGGCCAGTTGTAGTTTAACTATTAGTTGGGAGCCTCGGCTACAACATAACCAGCTAACGTGTTAAAATACAACTCATCTTGCTTACAGCTGGGTTTTTAAAATGTTACTTAAAACATTAGCAACCTGTTTTTGAGAACCTGCTCTTTTCCATTTCCCGGCCGTCGAACCACCAGGCCCTTCCTTCCCGAGAGCAGACAAGGGATTGTCACCCAATGAGATATTGCTGGGTCCTGCCAGTCTGCTGGTATAACTTGGGTAATGGGAGGGGTGGGGAAAGCTGAGCTGGGGGTAAGGAGCAGAGCTACACTTGGCATCCTGCTTTGTAAACTGTCATCTTGGTGGTGATGGGGGCCTTCAGCTACCCAGAGACCTGTTAGGAAAATAACACTGCAGGGCACAGATTATCCAAAAAGTTCTTGGAATGTATTGGAGACAATTTTTCAGTTCACAAGGTGGAGAAAGCTACTAGGGGAGAGGCTGTTCTAGATTGGGGGAGTTCTGGATGATTGGAAAAAGGCAAATAGAGTGCTCATATTTAAAAAAGGGAAGAAAGAGAACCTGGGGAACTACAGACCAGTCAGCCTCACTTCAGTCCCTGGCAAAATCATGGAGCAGGTCCTCAAGGAATCCATTTGGAAGCACTTGGAGGAGAGGAAGGTGATCAGGAACAGTCAACATGGATTCACCAAGGGCAAGTCATGCCTGACCAACCTGATTGCCTTCTATGATGAGATAAGTGGCTCTGTGGATATGGGGAAAGTGGTGGATGTGATACATCTTGACTTTAGCAAAGTTTTTGACACTGTCTCCCACAGTATTCTTGCCAGCAAGTTAAAGAAGTATGAGCTGGATGAATGGATTATAAGGTGGATAGAAAGCTGGCTAGATTGTCGGGCTCAAAGGGGAGTGATCAACGGCTCAATGTCTAGTTGGCAGCCGGTATCAAGCAGAGTGCCCCAAGGGTCAGTCCTGGGGCTTGTTTTGTTCAACATCTTTAGTAATGATCTGGATGGTGGGATGGATTGCACCCTCAGCAAGTTCGCTGTTGACATTAAGCTGGGGGGAGAGGTCAGTACGATGGAGGGTAGGGATAGGGTCCAGAGTGACGTAAACAAATTGGAGGATTGGGCCAAAAGAAATCTGATGAGGATCAACAAGGACAAGTGCAGAGTCCTGCACTTAGGAAGGAAGAATCCAATGCACCGCTACAGACTAGGGACCGAATGGCTCGGCAGCAGTTCTGCAGAAAAGGACCTGGCGATTACAGTGGACAAGAAGCTGGATATGAGTCAGCAGTGTGCCCTTGTTACCAAGAAGATCAATGGCATGTTGGGCTGTATTAGTAGGGGCATTGCCAGCAGGTCAAGGGAAGTGATCGTTCCCCTCTATTCGACATTGGTGAGGCTTCATCTGGAGTACTGTGTCCAGTTTTCCCACTACAGATGGGATGTGGACAAATTGGAGAGAGTCCAGCGGAGGGCAATGAAAATGATTAGGGGGCTGGGGCACATGACTTATGAGGGGAGGCTGAGGGAACTGGGGTTATTTAGTCTGCAGAAGAGAAGAATAAGGGGGGATTTGAGAGCAGCCTTCAACTACCTGAAGGGGGGTTCCAAAGGGGATGGAGCTCGGCTGTTTTCAGTGGTGGCAGATGACAGAACGAGGAGTAATGGTCTCACGTTGCAGTGGGGGAGGTTTAGGTTGGATATTAGGAAAAACTTTTTCACTAGGAGAGTGGTGAAGCACTGGAATGCGTTACCTAGGGAGATGGTGGAATCTCCTTCCTGAGAGGTTTCTAAGGTCAGGCTTGACAAAGCCCTGGCTGGGATGATTTAGTTGGGGTAGGTCCTGCTTTGAGCAGGGAGTTGGACTAGATGACCTCCTGAGGTCTCTTCCAACCCTAATATTCTGTGATTCTATGATTTAATTTTGACAAACAACGAGGAACAGATTGAGAATTTGAAAGTGGAAGGCAGCTTGGGTGAAAGTGATCAAGAAATGAGAGAGTTTGTGATTCTAAAGAACGGTAGGAGGGAAAACAACAGAATCAAGATAATGGATTTCAAGAAGGCAGACTTTAGCAAATTCAGGGAATTGGTAGGTAAGATCCCATGGGAAGCAAGTCTAAGGGGTAAAACAGTTCAAGAGAGTTGGCAGTTTTTCTAGGAGACATTATTAAGGTCACAAGAGCAAACTATCCCATTGCGTAGGAAATATAGGAAGTATGGCAAGAGACCACCCTGTCTTAACTAGGAGATCTTCAATGACCTGAAACTCAAAAAAGAGTCCTACAAAAAATGGAAACTAGGTCAAATTACAAAGGATGAATATAAAAAAATAACCCAAGTATGTAGGGAGAGAATTAGAAAGGCCAAGGCACAAAATGAGATTAAACTACCTAGAGACATAAAGGGTAACAAAAAAACATTCTACAAATACATCAAAAGCAAGAGGAAGACCAAGGACAGAGGAGGCCTGGGTGGAAAACAATAACAGAAAATGTGGAAATGGCAGAAGTGCTAAATGACTTTTTTGTTTCAGTTTTCACCAAAAAGGTTAGGAGTGATTCAATATGTAACATAGCGAATGCCAGTGAAAATGGGATAGGATCAGAGGCTAAAATAGAGAGAAAAAGTTAAAAATTACTTAGCTAAGTTAGATGTCTTCAAGTCCCCAGGGCCTGATGAAATACATCCTAGAATACTCAAGCAGCAGACTGAGGAGATATCTGAACCATTAGCAATTATCTTTGAAAAGTCATGGGAGACGGGAGAAATTCCAGAGGACTGGAAAAGGGCAAATCTAGTGCCCACCTATAAAAAGGGGAATAAGGACAACCCAGGGGATTACAGACCAGTCAGCTTAACTTCAGCATCCTGAAATATAATGGAGCAAATAATTAAGCAATCAATATGCAAACATCTAGAAGATAATAAGGTGACAAGTTACAGTCAGTGTGCATCTGTCAAGAACAAATCATGTCATACCAACCTGAGAGCTTTCTTTGACAGGGTAACAAGTCTTGTGGATGGGGGGAAGCGGTAGACGTGGTATATCTTGACTTTAGTAAAGCTTTTGATACTGTCTCGCATGACCTTCTCATAAACAAATTAGGGAAATGCAACCTAGATGGAGCTACTGTAAGGTGGGTGCAAAACTGGTTGGAAAACCATTCCCAGAGAGTAGTTATCAGTGGTTCACAGTCATGCTGGAAGAGCATAACGAGTGGGGTCCCACGGGGATCAGTTCTGGGTATGGTTCTGTTCAATATCTTCATCAATGATGTAGATAATGGCATAGAGAGTATACATATAAAGTCTGCGAACGACCCAGCTGGGAGGGGCTGCAAGTGCTTTGGAGGATAGGATTAAAATTCAGAATGATCTGGACAAACTGGAGAAATGGTCTGAAGTAAATAGGATGAAATGCAATAAGGACAAATGCAAAGTACTCCACTTAGGAAGGAACAATCAGTTGCACACACACAGAATGGGAAATGACTGCCTAGGAAGGAGCACTACGGAAAGGGATCTGGGGGTCACAGTGGATCACAAGCTAAATGAGTCAACAGTATAACACTATTGCAAAAAAAACAAACCTCAGTCTGGGCTGTATTAGCAGGAGTGTTGTAAGCAAGACACGAGAAGTAATTCTTCTGCTCTACTCCGGGCTGATTAGGCCTCAACCGGGGTATTGTGTCCAGTTCTGGGTGCCACATTTCAGGAAAGATGTGGACTCATTGGAGAAAGTACAGATTAGAGCAACAAACATGATTCAAGGTCTAGAAAACAAGACCTATGAGGAAAGGTTAAACAAAACCAATTTTTTTACCCTGGAGAAGAGAAGGTGGGGGGTGGGGGAGGAGACATGATGACAGTTTTCAAGTACATAAAGGGTTGTTACAAGGAGGAGGGAGAAAAATTGTTGTTCTTAACCTCTGAGGATAGGACAAGAAGCAATGGGCTTAAATTGCAGCAAGGGCAGTTTAGGTTGGACATTAGAAAAAACTTCCTAACTGTCAGGGTGGTTAAGCACTGGAATAAATCGTCTAGGGAGGTTGTGGAATCTCTGTCAGTGGAGATTTTTAAGAGCAGGCTGGACAAACACCTGTCAGGGATGGGCTAGAATCGATAATACTTAGTCCTGCCCTGATTGCAGGGGGCTGGACTAGAGACCTCTGGAGAGCTCTTCCAGTCCTAAGATTCTATGATCTACCAGATGTGATGGGACCCCCAATAATAATAACGCTTCCAGGGTGTCACGGAGTGTGGGGGAGTCCAGGCCCTGCACCCCCCTTCCTGGGATTCACTGAGACTCTCAGCCAGCCAGTAAAACAGAAGGTTTATTAGACCACAGGAACACAGCCCAGAACAGAGCTTGTGGGTACAACCAGGACCCCTCAGTCAAGTCCTTCTGGGGGAGCAGGGAGCTTAGACCCCAGCCCTGGGGTTCCCTGTGTTCCTCCACCCAGCACCAAACTGAAAACTAAACTACCCCAGCAGGCTCCCTCCTGCAGCCTCCGTCCACATTCCCGGGCAGAGGTGTCACCTCCCCCTCCCCCTCCTGGCTCAGGTGACAGGCTCTCAGGTCTCCCATCCCCAGGGCACATTCCCAGGTCAACACTCCCCCCTCCCTGCTGCGTCACATCCTCACACAGGGCTCCTCCCATCTGTTCCCCAGTTTGCTAGGGACAGCCTGGTGGGCTTTATTTTCTGCAGCCCAAATGTGCCCTTCATGTGGCTTGCTGCTCCCGGCTCCATCACTCTTATGGGGTTGGGGAGATTTACAATGAAATAACCCCTGGAGCTGTTCCTGTCCCTGCCCTTTATGGGAGACAGAATCTCCCTCGCTGTAACAAACATTGCGGCTTTACAGCCAGAGCGAAATCCCTGCAGGGGGAAAGGCCCCACCCCCTCTTCACCTCCCGCAATAGTCCCGAGCTCTCACTCCTGCCTGCCCACAGCAGGAACCCCCTACATGAGCCTGATCCATCAGACAGTCAGCCCCCAGCCCCCTCAGCCCCTTGCCCTGCCCCACCCTGAGATACCCCAGAGTGAGCACCTAGCCTCCTCGGCCCCTCACCACGCCCTGTCCTGAGACACCCCAGAGCGAGCGCCCAGCCCCCTCAGCCCCTCACCCTGCCCAGTCTGCCCCATACCTTTCTCTCTGAAGAGGTGCCAACAGTCACCAGAGCCAGGGCGAGGAGCAGGGAGAAGCCGATTTTCCCCATCGTCACTTGGAGTAGAAACCACCTGCAGAAGCCAATTGAGTCTCCCCAGCACTTAGTCTGGGGCCACCAGTCAGGCCCCGTCTTTATATCCCCTCGCAGCAGGCAGGGGCTGCAACCTGAGCTGCTCTGGTTCTCTCCTTGCTGGCAGTTCCCAGAAGCGAGCGGGCACTTCGGTTATTTTGTTTATGTCTCACTGACATTCAATCTCCAGCCCCAGCTGCTGGCAGGGCCAGCAGGATAAAATGAAAAGAAGGGACGTGTGACCTGGGAAGTGATGTGAGGAGTGCGGTCAGTGACCAGCTATAGATAGATCCCAGCACATGGGACAGCTGGACAGAGACCAGCAGGGCCATTGGCCTGCAGTGACAGGTGGAAAGGTGCCTGGCTCTGAGGGCTGTGCCTGCCATGGCTCATGGGGTGTGTGAGGGCACATTGCCCCGGGTTGGTGAGAGAGGTGATGGCAGGACAAAGGTTCTCCGTGTGCCATGCATGGCAGAGCAGGGGCAAGGCGGGAGCTGGAGTCCGTTAGCAGTCAAGATCCTGAGCCTCTGAATGGCCACTAACTCCAGCAGAAATAATGACGTCTGATGTCAGCCAGCAGCAGCCCCTGCCTCCCGGACAGGTGGTAATGAGTGATCCGGGTGCTGCATCAACCAGGCCAGGTACTAACAAGCTGCAACAGGACTTTATTTTTGAAGTGGAAACCTCTTTACCAAGCTGCTGCTGCACCCTCGGTAGCTTTCTCCCAGCCTCTCAACTCCTCCCCACTCCTTCCTGGTTCCTGTCCTTTCAGACTCCCAACAGCCAGAGCTCCCAATTCTAATAATTACAAGCAACATCTAAACACCACATTCCCGCCTCTCTTAAGAAACTCTCCCAATTAAAATAAACATTATTGTTCCAACCACAGGAACAAATATGAAACAAGACACTATACTGTTGGCAGAAATATGACACTGAAAACACTGTAGATACTACATATCATAGTCTCTAGTCCAGACAGGTGGTCGTCTGGGTCTGACAGGCCATCTCTCAAGCCCCGGTTCCAGGTCAATGTCTTGTTGTGTTGGTACCACGGTGAAGTCATCCCATGCAGACTGGGCGTTGGCATAATCTCCTCTTGGTGCATAGGCAGGTGCAAGATAAGAAGCATTCCATACCCACCCATCAGAAAGTCGATAGGTGTAAGGTCCCTTCTTCCCTATGATTTTAAGAGGAGCTGTGAATTTATGGTCCCCTTTGCGTAAAATTCCAGGTTTTCGTATTCTAACGAAGGAACCGCACTCTCACTTTGGTTCCTTAGCACCCCGCCGCTTGTCTGTGAAAGCCTGAGACTTTGCTTGGTTCTGTTCAACTGTTTTTCTCACACCTCATTTGGGGCATCAGATCATGCATTTAACAATCCAGCAATGTTCAGTTTAGTATTCATCTGTTTCCCATGCAGTAACGCTGCAGGCGATCTTTGCGTGGTGGCATGTCATGTAGCCCGGCATACCTGCAAGAAATCAGTAGTGAAGGGTATCCACAATCGCCCTTCCAGTTTAGCCGTTTGCAAACTCTCTTTCACACTTCTGTTAAACCATTCAATTTCCCCATTGGCTTGAGGGTACTATAGGGATGACCTTCTGTGTAAAATGTTCCTCTGTGCTAGAAAAGTTTCAAACTCCCCGGAAGTAAATTGACTACCATTATCTGAAACCAGTTCTTGGGGTTACCTTCCCTGCTAAAAACTGAAGAGAGGAACTTAATTACTGTAGCAGAAGAGATTTGCGATGTAAACGCTACCTCAGGCCATTTACTGAAATAGTCTATTAAGGTGATGGCATAACGGCAGTCAATTGGAGCAATATCAAAGGGTCCTACAATGTCAATTGCCACTTTTTCCCATGCAGATTCAGGAAGAGGAACAGGCTGTAATGGAGGGGTACATGTCACTGCTCTCTTATCATGCATTTGGCAAGTGACACAGGATTTTATGAGTGCTTCAGTTTGAGAGTCCATCCCTGGCCTCCAATACAGATCCCGTAGTCGTTGTTTGGTTTGGACAATTCCTGGATGAGAATCGTGTGCCAGGTGTATGAGTTTTGACTGTAATTCTTCTGGCACAAGGAGCCGGTGTGTACATGGTAGCACACAGCCATCAAGCAAAGAAAATTCATCCCGAACTCTAAAATAAGGCAGCAAAACCGGGTCAAGGTTTTTAGGGTGACTGGGCCACCTCTTTGTCAGAAATTCCCGTAGTTTTTGTTGAACTGGACACGCTGAACAAGCAGCTTGAAATTGTTCTCTTGTAACTGCAGTGAGAGCGCTTGTAATAAGCGCAAGCACGACATCCTCATCCTCCGGTGGACCATCTGGTGAAGGCAAAGGCAGGCGAGAAAGGCAATCGGGGACCACATTTTGCTTTCCAGGCTTATATTCCCGTTCATAACTGAAAGAGAGCAGTCCTGCAGACCCTCGAGCAATACGGTACCCTGCTCTTCCCAGTCCTTTCGTGGTGAGCAACGTCGTCAAAGGGCTGTGGTCTGTGCGCAACTTGAACGTGTGGCCCCACGGGTAAGTTCTCCATCTTTCCGTAGCCCAGACACAAGCAAGTGCTTCTTTTTGGACTGTAGAATATTTCCTCTCAGCATTACTTAGTCTCCTTGAACCAAACGCAACCGTCCTCTCTGTGTTGTCCTCACGCAGTTGTGTGAAAACAGCCCCAAGGCCATAATCAGAAGCATCAGTAGTTACAAGTGAGGGCAATGCAGGACTGAATAGTGCAAGTACTGGACTATGAACAATCAAGTCTTTCACTGTTTCGAAACTAGCTTGTGCATCTTCCTGTCCACACTAAGGTTGAACTTCTCCGTAGTAATTCCTGTAACGGTTCAATGACCTCAGGAGGTCATCTAGTCCAACCCCCTGCTCAAAGCAGGACCAATCCCCAACTAAAGCATCCCAGCCAGGGCTTTGTCAAGCCTGACCTTAGAAACCTCTAGGGAAAGAGATTCCACCACCTCCCTAGGTAACGCATTCCCATGTTTCACCACCCTCCTAGTGAAATAGTGTTTCCTAATATCCAACCTAAACCTCCTCCACTGCAACTTGAGACCATTACTCCTTGTCCTGTCATCAGCTACCACTGAGAACAGTCTAGATCCATCCTTTTTTAACCCCCTTTCAGGTAGTTGAAGGCTGCTATCAAATCCCCCCTCATTCTTCTCTTCCGCAGACTAAACAATCCCAAAAAGAAAAGGAGTACTAGTGGCACCTTAGAGACTAACCAATTTATTTGAGCATAAGTTTTCGTGAGCTACAGCTCACTTCGTCGGATGCATTCAGTGGAAAATACAGTGAGGAGATTTATATACACACAGAAATGAAAAAATGGGTCTTATCATACACACTGTAATGAGAGGTTTCAGAGGAACAGCCGTGTTAGTCTGTATTCGCAAAAAGAAAAGGAGTACTTGTGGCACCTTAGAGACTAACCAATTTATTTGAGCATGAGCTTTCGTGAGCTACAGCTCACTTCATCAGATGTTTACCGTGGAAACTGCAGCAGACTTTATATACACACATGATTTCTGTGTGTATATAAAGTCTGCTGCAGTTTCCACGGTAAACATCTGATGAAGTGAGCTGTAGCTCACGAAAGCTCATGCTCAAATAAATTGGTTAGTCTCTAAGGTGCCACAAGTACTCCTTTTCTTTTTACTGTAATGAGAGTGATCACTTAAGATGAGCTATTACCAGCAGAAGAGCGGGGGGGAGAAAACCTTTTGTAGTGATTGTCACGGAGTCCCCGGGCGATGCTCTGGAACTGCTCCCCATGAAGCCAGTCAGGACTCTGGGGCAGTCTCCTCTCTGGGAGCAGCCTGTCTGCAGGACACACAGCTCACCCGGCTTCCCCCTTCCTGGGTCTGACCTCAGAGCATTCAGCCTCCTCTGCCCCTCTGTGCGCTTCCCACAGCGAGTCCGCTCAGGCGGGGCTCCTGGAGGGGCCAGAGGGTCCTGCCCCCCAACTTCACAGTCAGACGGGACTCTCCGCCAGCCAGTAAAACAGAAGGTTTATTAGATGACAGGAACATGGTCTAAAACAGAGCTTGTACATGCAGAGAACAGGACCCCTCAGCTGGGTCCATTTTGGGGGGCAGTGAGCCTGACAACCACGTCTGCCCTTCACTCCATGTCTCCAGCCAGCCCCCAACTGAAACTCCCTCCAGCCCCTCCTCCTCTGGGCTTTGTTCCTTTCCCCGGGCCAGGAGGGCACCGGATCCCTTTGTTCTCCAACCCTTTAGCTCTCACCTTGCAGGGGGGGAAGGGCCCAGGCCATCAGTGGCCAGGAAACAGGGTGTTGGCTATTCTCTGTGTCCAGACCCCTGCACACACCTGCCCTCTAGGGCTCTGCAATGATCATACACCCTTACCCCACCCCCTAGATACTTAAGAACTGCCTAGGGGAAACTGAGGCACCCCCACACTATTCAGAAGAAACATTAAGAACAGTCCCACTTCGTCACATCGATAATCAGGGTGGGCCATTTCCAGCAGTTGACAAGAATGTTGGAGGAACAGTGGGAGGTGAAGGGGGGGAGTAAACATGGGGAAATAGTTTTACTTTGTGTAATGACCCATCCACTCCCAGTCTCTATTCAAGCCTAAGTTAATTGTATCCGGTTTGCAAATTAATTCCAATTCAGCAGTCTCTCATTGGAGTCTGTTTTGAAGTCTTTTTGTTGTGATATTGCGACTTTTAGGTCTGAAATAGAGTGACCAGAGAGATTGAAGTGTTCTCCGACTGGTTTTTGAATGTTATAATTCTTGACATCTGATTTGTGTCCATTTATTCTTTTACATAGAGACTGTCCAGTTTGACCAATGTACATGGCAGAGGGGCATTGCTGGCACATGATGGCATCTATCACATTGGTGGATGTGCAGGTGAACGAGCCTCTGATAGTGTGGCTGATGTGATTAGGCCTGTGATGGTGTCCCCTGAATAGATATGTGGG